TTGTTACAGCTCATTTTCTTACCTGTGGGTAACGGAAAGAAGCATCCAGAGACTCTACGATGAAGTTCTCCGACCCTTTGTTAGTGAAGCCAAGAAGGAACTTAACGATGTCGTTGGCTGGGAAGTCTAGAGGAAGGATGGCATGAATCAAACGGGGGTTTCAATACAGGAAAATCTAGAAACTGCTGAATGAAAACAAGAGGGCGGATACACAAAGACATTCACCGTCTCCTTTGACGAACAGGATGGTTGTGTCAGCGTTGGGGGAAGCCTTCACCTCTCCAACCAACGCTTCCTCCTCTTCATCTTCTTTTTCTTCCGTCTAGATAAGCGCACAGGTTTAGGTAACGGGACGAAGAACAGGTTCACGTTTATCACGGTACAGTAAACAGCGAAAACTTGCATCATCTATGAAAACATTTCTACAGCCAATTTAATCACTTACCAGTTCTGTGTTATCATCATCTTCCACTTCTGCCTCATCATCCTCTTCGTTCACGTCGTCCACCACGTCTTCATCCACAGCCTCAGCCTCCTCATCCTCAGTCAAATCCTGGGCACTTGCCACTGGTCCTGACAGAAAGTATGGGAATTTTTACCAAGCCTATAAACACAATCTTTATTTCATGTAATGGTTCAAAGACCCCGGAGCAGCTACAGAGGTCTGATATTTAAAGCACATCTTCAGTTCACCAATGAGCTCCATGATGGTTGGAAAAATGGATGCAAGCCTAAAATTGACCACAACACAGATATGACTTTGTACTCCATCAATGTTCTTCTGGTACCTAAGACTACATGGTTCTCAAACTTGTTGCATGGTGTGCTTAAGAACAATCCAAGCATAGCCTGGAGAACAGATCCAGACCAAGCTAAACACCGAGCTGCAGCATTCACTACAACCTAACAACTTGGAAATTACAAACTCTACTTTTGGTGGTTTAAAGCTTGGGATGATAGATTTTGTTAAGGTAACATCACACAATCTTTCAAAGGTAGATACAAGCATCAAAGTCTCCATGTAAATATATTATAAACAAACAAAAACAGTTCTACATTTTCCAAGACGGCCATCATCTCAGATCTAAGTCAAGTGAAGAAGGCAACTGGACTTCACTTCTCACCCAAGAGCCATCTTTAGTTCTAGAACTAAACGGTAGCGAGTCACATGTATTTAAACCTTACTGGCATTTATGGTCACCACACTGGTTGTATCAAGCGCAAACTGTAACTTGAAGGCGCACGGTACTCGCCACAGTTCTCTCCTGAACTGGTCTGCATCAGTGCTGGTGTAAGTGTAGAAGTTTCTGCTGTTTCAACATCTGCTGTAATCAGGGAACCTTTGAACTGTGGTATTGATATACAACTAAAAACTTAGTTTACAAAAACAAAAAAACAAGTTGATCGAACAGTTTTCTCTTCCACCCAGCTGGCTGCACATGGCACATTACAAAAGTTAAGAGAAGCACGAAAAACTGAAACGATGCCCAAGTGTGGCACATGCCAGCAGTTGTGACGTCAGTTTGGGCTTGCATCGCGCAGAGAGATGACAATGGAGAGCATAACCTAGGCTGCACCACACCTTTCGCCCCATGACAGCTGGAACAGTCGTCTGTTGTCCAGTTCAGTGTGGATGGAGCCCGCGCTGAACTGGATAAAGAGTTAAGAAAATTGACGAATAACACTAGCATGCAAACATTTTTGAACATTTAACATTCAGATCTGCGTGAAAGCAAATACCTTTGTTCAGCTCATCAGTGCAGTCACACCCTGTCAATTAGGGTGCAGCTATCCACTTGTTTAAATGCTTATCCAAATGAAGGCAGCATACCCCCAGCTAACAGAGTCAGACACTGACACACAAGATCATTTTAGAGTCACCCATTTGCCTGACATGCATCTATTTGAGCTGCAGACTTCTCCATCCAGGATACTCCAACTCAGAACCTTCTTGCTGTTTTGCAACCATGATAACCAACGCACCACCATGCTGCCTAGTTTTATGACTCATGACAGCGACCCAATAACACAGTCAGGTTAGTCCCACTACTTCCCCTCACTCTGTCTGCATATACACAAGGCCAGGGATTAACCAACACATTAAAATGAAACTTGCTACAACATTATTAACCGTGATAATAATGATGTGCATAATATCCACACAACACCAAGTTCTTGGTTAGACTTTGATTACAAATATCAATACCCTAATGTAAAATTGCTATTGTTAAACTCTAAAAGCGTATCCACAGGCCCGTGATGTAAAAACCGTGTTGCTTAAAAGAAATAGGAAGCCAAGACGTCCGTTTCGTCATGTAAACGCCGAACTAACCCACAGCTTACAATCACAGCTAACAGGATACGATCCAGATAACTTAATCGGCCTCAAACAGCCGTTCAGCTGCACAGTGTGCAGACCAATTGAGTAAATAAGCCATGCTCTTACAGACTTAATTATCTACTTACATTAATTAAGCGGGCATTTGAAGTAACAGTCACTCTGTGATTCAGTTCTGTGGGGTTAAGCTAAGTAAGCTAGCGTAGCAACAAAAGTAACTTTACACAGTTTTTCAGAAACCTTCACAAGTTTTGTTGATTACATCATATTATGTGTGGCAACTCCGAGGCTCCGTTTACACAGAGAGGAAATAAAGGAGCTGAAATAAAGCAGCACGTTAACTGAGCCTCTTAGCTTCCCTGCTAACAGTAAGGACACGTCAGTCTAACCAGGCGTTTAAAGTACCTTGACGTGAGCTACCTTACACTAAATTACACGAAACAATAAGAGGCATTTGCGAAAACGAAATCCACCGTGGAGATATCCCTCTAATTGCCCCACATTTACGATGAATCCCTTCATTTTTATATACACGCTTCGCTTCAACCAGCACGCTTAATGGAGAGCGGCCTTCCCCTTTCCCCACAGCAGCTACTTAGCTCGACAGCTAACACTTCTTTTTCCCCTAAATCGCTGCGCTTTTCTTCGTATCTTTACAAACAGACTTACCTTTGATAAGGAGAGTCGCCGGAAAGGCTAACAACACCAGTAGCAGAAGTTTCGGCAGAAATTTCATCATTTTGAAGTCGAAATCAGTGCGTTCTCATTCAGCGTCGGTCAGACAGTCAGGCTGTCTATGAGCGTCGCTGTACTGCTTCCGTTACTCTAACTATGACGCATGCGCAGAAGTCACGGTGGAGTTTTGTGGCGTGGCGTCAGCCCCCTTTCAGGTCGCAGTTGTGTTGGTATAAAAATGGTTAGACACGGTTGAGAGTGTTAAGAATAATATAACTTTTATAGAGAACAGCTGACCTGAGTTGTGGACTTTCTGCTCAAGTTGGGGAAGTTTAGGAAGCACGAATGCAAAGGAAACAAAACCGGAAGTGAACACTGCCGAGAAAAAAACAGAATAAAAACGAACTTTAATTGATCAAGTGCTGAAAGAATGACCTTTCTTCATAACTTACATTTCATATTTAATTCTAAGAATGAATAATAGTACTGTTTCTTGTTGCAGATATAAACAAACTGGGAGTTTCTACGAAATGTCAGAATAAATTAGCAGATGCAGCTAGAACGAAAACTTGTTTCTGATGCTTTAAAATGAATGTCTACTGTTTTCTATTAATAATACTAATTCTTTATTTAAAAGGGACAGTGCAGTTTAACGTAGTGTAAGTATAAAACTGATGTTCTGCGCATATTGCTAATTTCCAACTATTATTATCATTATTATTATTGGTATTGTTGTTGTTGCTATTGTAGCCACAAATTGCGTTCAAACACGTACAATTCAGTCACGTACACATCCAAATCACAACATGCAATATATACAAATGTTTTTTCTTTGTTTTTTCTGTCAGTGCGCACTTTTCTCCTGTTGTATGTTCAGCGTTATGTTCCACAACAGATATGGGAAAA